TACATATTAACTTGCGGTTCCTAGTAAACAGGAAGTTGAAGGAAGCCCAGTTGTTGAAAGGTCATTGAGGGGCATTCAGTTTGCTTTCTGTCAGCTGTTCTGTAGGGCTCGTGCTGTTGCCATCGGGTAGATTCCGACGTAAGCCGACCCATATTCTTTGCAAGACGGTGCTCTTCCTGGAAGCCGACGACCACATCTTGTCCCTTGAAGTGACTGTTGACCGTGAACTAACTGACCTTTGGGCCAGCAGCTGCATACTTTAGCCACAGCCCCATCAGGACTCTTTCTTTGGTGTCTGGCACCACAAGTGTTGGCCGATGAACAAAACTATTGGAATGGCTGGATACCCTTTGGAAGTTTGAATCCTGTATTAAGCCATGTCAGAATTCCTAGAAATTTAGAGGGAAATTAGAGTCGAGGGAACTCTCTTGAATAATCTGTTGTGTATACTGTAACAACTTCTTTTCTAAAACATATTTGATCCTGGCTCTGCTCTTTGTAACCCTTGTTTTTCCCCATTCATTACAGCAGTAGCCTTTAACCAAAAAACATGTTTGAATTTTGTAAGGTGCTCCTAACACTTGCCCTTATCTTCTATCATTCATCACAAGATCCGATTTTTAGGGGACTGGCAAGTATACACGGAAAAGCTTTACCCATTGCTTCAGATGTCTCTTTATGCCCTGTTTCAAACACACTTTCCCACCTGTCTCGTGTCTTTCCCTCCGGTGCCCCGTCCTCTGCATCAAATGAGACATTATTCACAGCCTTACTGTTGGTTCCCACTTCTGCAAGCTCGTGCCTGCTGTTTCTGTCGTTTAAAACATGAGACCTGCTTCCCCTTACCGTGTTTCCTCTTGCTCCACTCTGACACTTTCATCCGTCAAGCAACAACTTACCTTTATCGTTCCGACTCTAAAGACAGGTTGTTCTTTACTCCCCCACTGCAGCTTTTATGTTTGCAACTCGTAATGAGTTATGACTTTTTAAGGTGTACATGCTTCCCATTAGTGAGATAAATGACATCACATTATTTATCTTATTTATTCCTATATTAAAGGACTACATGAATGAATAATAAAATAATCTGTTAGAAATATGAATGTACATTGTTTCTGTGGACATTGTATTTAGGGGCATAGTTGAGGGATTGGTGATCATTTTATTTGTTTTACTATTCCTTCCTGTTAACACATTAATTTTTGCCTTCATTTTCTCCTTTTGTATCTGCAGAAGAAATCTCACCAAACTCTCCCTCATCTTCAGTCACATGCTGGCAGAAATCAAAGCAATCTTTCCAAATGGTCAGTTCCAGGGAGATAACTTTCGTATCACTAAAGCAGATGCTGCTGAATTCTGGAGAAAGTTTTTTGGAGACAAGTAAGCAAAAGTTGTTTTCATTGTTTGGATATATATCTTTGAAAGGTAACCTAGTCTTACTTCCCTTTCTACATGGTGTACATTGTGCCTGTGTACATTTTGGGAATGTGCTTGAGTGTTATTGCTAAGGGCACTTTTTTTTTTTAATCATTTTATTGGGGGCTTGTACAACTCTTTTTTTTTAAAATCACTTTGTTAGGGGCTCATACAACTCATCACAATCTATACATACATCAATTGTGTAAAGCACATTTGTACATTCATTGCCCTCATCATTCTCAAAACATTTGCTCTCCACTTAAGCCCCCCGGCATCAGCTCCTCATTTTTACCCCTCCCTCCCCGCTCCCCCCTCCCTCATGAGCCCTTGATAATTTATAAATTATTATTTTGTCACATCTTGCCCTATCCAACATCTCCCTTCACCCACTTTTCTGTTGTCTGTCCCCCAGGGAGGAGGTCACATATAGTTCCTTGTAATCGGTTCCCCCTTTCCAACCAATCCTCCCTCTACCATCCCAGTATCGCCACTCACACCACTGGTCCTGAAGGGATCATCCACCCTGGATTCCCTGCGTTTCCAGTTCCCATCTGTACCAGTGTACATCCTCTGGTCCAGTCAGACTTGCAAGGTAGAATTGGGATCATGGTAGGGTGGGGGCGGGGAGGATTTAGAAACTAGAGGAAAGTTGTACTTTTCAGCGTTGCTACATCGCACCCTGACTGGCTCGTCTCCTCCCGAAAGCTAAGGGTCTTGGTAAGTGATTTTTCTGTTTAAGCACTGAAAGTAGGCCTCAGCATTGTAGAATTGAATAACTTTATACTATTTCAATGCAGTTATAACTTTATGCAGTGTTATTTTAGCAAGGATTCAGTTAAATAGTCTATATTTATGAGAAGCTGGTAATTTCTTGATTTTTGCCTAACTTCAAATTTTAATATTTGTGTGGTTTTAGTGAAATGTTACATAAAAAATGAGGTGAATATTAATGATATCTATTCTTGTTCAGTGACATTGGCTACATTTTTTGCAATGTGTCAACAGTCTCAATTCTTCTTTCTCTCTTTCAATTTAGCTGCCACTCCCCCCCTCCCCCAATCTTCTCACCCCTGCTTTAGAGTACATGTGGACTCATTTAGGTTAAGTCTCATATAGCATCTATTTCATGAGCTAATCTGTTGTGTATTTGAAAGGTTCAGCTCTGGGCATGGTTTATGTAAAACATGTTCAAGGATATCTCCAGGCAGTAAGTAGTCTTGGTGGCTTCTCTAGTCTTAACTGGTCCAGTTTAAGAATTTGCGTTTTATTGTGCCTTCTTCCCATTCTACCCCAGTCATCCCTCGTGTATGTGTGAGAATGGTCACCGGTGGTATCCAGGCACCATCTGGGTCCTCTGATCTCGAGACTGAGGTTCGTGTAAACTGTTAGTCTTAGACGGGCTTCTTCTTTGAGTTCTTGGTTTCTTTCGCTCTCATTTTCTTAGTTACCTAGAGACTAGTAGTTGAATATTAGAGTCCTACTTGCAAGCTTTTGAATTCCCCTGCGACGACTCACAAGCTAGGCTGTAGATCATAAAATTTGTGAACCATGTTCTGACAAGTACCTGAGTTGTCCCATGAGACTGTGGTTCTAAGACTTTAGTCAGTAAATCAATGACCAAGTTGTTTGGTTATGTCTAGGAATTAATTGCTCTCTGTACCCCCATGTGATACACACACACATATACATTTGCCTACAAATACACCATTTCAACAGCTGCATATACACAATATATATTCCCATGTACGTATATGAATACATAGCCTGGTGTGTAGCTTATACCCATGTTTTTTTGTTAATTGCTGTTACTGCAGTAACTATTGTTGTATTACAACTTTTACCCAAAATGCCCCTTATTTTTATGTATTTAGTGTCCTTGTGATCTTGGTCAGATTTGGCATATTTTCCCCACATTCTGTATTTACTGTGATCTACAAGGTCAATAGTTCGAAACCACCAGAAGCTCCAAGGGAGAAAGATGGGACTCTATACTCCTGTAAATAGTTAGCAGCCCCTGGAACTCACAGGGGCAGTGGTCCAGGTTCACTGTGAGGCAGGGTTGGCTTGATGGCAGCGAGTTTGGTTGGTTGTGGACTAACTAGAGACAGCCTCCCTGTCCTATCCACGTGAAACTTCATCTAGCGTCGTATGCACATAAACCACTTAAAGAAAATAAAGGACAGAAAGAAATGTGCATTCTCTAAATATAGCATAAATAACTTGCTATGCCGCTTTTAGGGAGGGGAATAGACTCATAGGAATCCGGGACTGTCTCCTGGAGGAGTGGTGTGTAAGCTTGGTTTGATCTGGAACTGAGGTGGGACAAAGGCCTTTGCGCTCTGATTCAGACGTTCCCTGTATTTTTGCACAGAAAATATAAGTGTGTGAACAAAATACAGAGATGAGGACGATTTTATGCTCTGGTGGTGACTCAGGATAAGCATTAAACTAGGAGCAGCAAGGTCAGTGGTTCAAACCCACCAGCACCTACAAAGAAGAAAGTTGGAAGCCCTGTATGGCATTTTGATGAGTTCAGATCGACTCAATGCCAGTGGGTTAGGAGGCATTAGATTATATAGTGGACGAAGTTTTCTCTCCCTCCTTTAGGTCCTTTCTTTCAGACAAATAATTACATGAGCTTGATGAATAATAACTGAATGTCTGAAGTCAGCATGTATTAAAAGAACCTTGCAAAATCTTGTTGAAATCTAGTTAGTTGAGCAAGAAACGTGTCTCAGAATGCAAATGCTTTCTTATCCTTAAAAAAAATCCCCTTTTGTTTGATAGCACACACGGAATACTCAGGCTACACTCTGAATAGTAAGAAGAAAGAGTGCTTGCTTACAGATTAACATTTAAAAAAATTTTTTTAAAGGTCTCTTAATCCTTAACTTAAAAAATAGTCACCTAAAGTGTTGGAATGCACTTTTAATGATTTTAGCATTTTTACAGATAATTAACTGTAACATGTCCCTTTTAATTAATTTTCACTTTTTATGTGTTATACTTACCTATAGTTGTCCCCATGATTAGAACATGTTTACATAGATTAATGTGCATTTTATTAGCTACATAACTTTCTTGGCTTAGAAAAGATTGAATCCTATTTCTCACTTTTTATTGTTGGAATTGACCCTAGAATAACTGGTTTCTACCACAACACATTCACCATGATCTGTAGGAACTAAAGAATGCAATACTATTATTAAAATTAATATGATATTCTATGTTTTCCAGAAACTTAGCTATTTGTACTGTTCCTATGTCCATTTACAAATTATTGATAATAATAATTAACATGTAATCCCAGTCTGAATATGCTAGATAAATATTTTGGAATGGTTGAATGCAGGGAAGGAATTACCAATGTCCAGGGGAAAGAACTGAGAGGATTTCATGCAGGTAAATTACTGTTGCACTAATACTGTGAGCCTAAAATACCACATTATTATTATTATTATTATTATTATTATAAGCATTATCTTAACAATTTTAAGAAAATCCTCATGTCAAATAGTTTGTGATATTGTTCTTTGAAAAATGAAAATTTGATGAGTTAAAAGTTCTACTGACTTGTTAAGAAAGTCACTAAATTATGGGAAGATTACTCATGTTTTTTAAATGGGGAGTTTGTTTTGTTGCCACCTTAAATTACAGAAAATTCAGCTTTTGAGGTATCTCTGTTGTTCTGTTTATAATATAAAGGGTCCAAAGTGTTTGTTCAACCTACGTGGTGAAAGCCCTGCTTAATCTAATCTTGAATTATTGATTAAATACTCTTTACTTTCGAAATTCTTTTTCAACTCTGTGCCCTGTTTTCAGACTTGAAAAAGCTGCTTAATTTGTCTTTAACATGTTTGTATTTGACATGAGAGCTAAATGCCAAGCTGGCGTTAGAATTTATACATACAAGTATGTCTATAATCATCAAAATGAGTATTTCTTTTGTTAGACCACTGGAGAGAGAATCTTTTTATTCTCCCTGGCTTTTTATTCACCTTGTAATATGAGAGTGCTTTATTGAATAAGTGAAAATGTGAATGAATGGTGTGACCTTTCAAACACACACTGCCATTGAGTCAGTGCCGACTCAGGGTGACCCTGTAGGACAGTACAGAAGTTCGCTTGTGGGTTTCCGAGCACGTAAGTCTTTATGGGAGTGGAAAACACTGTCTTTCTCCCAAAGCAGCTGGTGGTTTTGAACTGTTCACAGCCCACATTGTCACCACCACACCACCAGGACCCCGATTTCAAACAGTGGATGTCTTTTATTTCATTTACGCTCATTAGTATTAGTTTGTGTTTTCCCATAATTTATTTATTTCTCATATGGACGCATTCCTCTCATTTATCCTGCTACACAGTGAGACCAGGCAAGAATGCTTTTAAAATTGAAAACAACATTGTTTCCAAAAACAGAACTATTGAGAGGTTGGATCTGAATACATCCAAACAGATTGAGCTTTGTAAAGCAGCTCGTAATTTAGGTCTATTGTGATTATTATTACAAAAGAAAGAGTCAGCACGAAGAATATATTAGAGCTGAATTAACCCTGGGTGCAAGCTGTTGATCAAAGGATGTTGAAAAACTTCTAAAGGCAATTTTACAAATGAGATTGCATAAAAATGGAGAAGACAAGAAGCTTGATCCTTCCTATGCCTATTGTCTATTTCAGTCCTTTCCAACCTTTTAGAAGCGATGACAGAGCCCACCTTTCTGATCAGGGCCCAAGCCCAGCGATGGAGAGGCTCCAGCAGCCCTGTTGGTGGACACCGATTAGACTAGCTGACCGATGGGAGACCAGCCTGGTGCTCTGCCTCTGAAAAGTGAAACAGTGCTACTCAGAACCCATGGGATCACGTTGATCTGAAATACATTTGGTGGCAACTAGGGACAACACTGCTTGGCAAGGCACATTGGTTGGGGAACTCTGAATTTACTAGATTTCTTAATGCAGATT